TCATTTTCACAAATTACTGCCAGACGGGTTTTCACTGTTTTTGCTCTCTGAAAACAGTTTTTAACTAAGCTACCAGACGCGTTTTTGTTCTCTGAAAATGCGTTTTCATTTTCTCGTTTTCATTCTATGAAAACATTCTCTGAAAATGCTATCTGAAAACGTTACCAGACGGGCCCTTAACTTTTGCACCACATAAGATTACATGCCTTTTTCTTACTTATTTATTGTTCTTTAAATTTTATTTTATTTATTTTACAATTATTTTGTTGTTCCAATTATGCCCCTGTAAATTATCGATTTGTAAAATTGATTTGTAGGACTTAATTATCATATTTGATTTCAATTTAATTGCAAATCTAATTATTGAATTTTGAAAATTTTCCAAGGTATACCGACCTCAAAATTAGTAATTAGAGTTCATGGAAACTTCATACCTTAACAATAGGTAAGCTACCTATGCATACATGTCGTTAAACCCATAAGGGCTCGTTTGTGAGTGATTCTGGAGACTCTAATAATCACTTTTATAGAGAATCACTTATCCAAATAATCATTTTAAAGTGATTTTATGAAGAAGCACATGGAAGGTAAAATCATTTAAAATCATTAAAAATGATTTTCCGGAGAAGCTCGTGAGATATGTTTCATCCCAAACGAGTCCAAATTACATCTAGTCTAAGTAATTAAATCCATAAGTTACCTCTAGTCTAGGTAATTAAACCCAAAAGTCAACTCTTGTGCACATTATACCCATAAATTGCCTCTAGTCTAGGTAATTGAATTATTAAAACCCATAATTTAAAACTACAAAACATATAATTAAAAGTACAAAAAGAAGATGGCACAGAGTTCAGATATATTATTAGTCAAATAATTACGTACCCTGTTTCAAGCTTGAAGGGGAGGTCACCAGAAAACCCTGGCAAGTTCTTGACGATTGTCTGCGACGAACTATAGTTGGTAAGCAGCACCAGCAGCAGAAAAAATGCCAGACACACCCAGATTGTGAAATAGATGCTTCTTCTGCAACTAATCATTCTCGTTTTTTTTTTTTTCGTTTTTTCTTTTTTCTAGTGGAAGATAAGGATAAGTCTGCCTTTGACACCCTCATATTCTCGTATACTGAGGTAGGAACAGTCCAAGAAAAAAACATTAGAAAAAAAACAAAAAGAGAAAAGAAAAGGATCCAGAACCAGAAGTGCTATTTTCAAATGCATATTTCCACAGAACTGCGCTCGTGCAGCTGCCAGCAGTCCAAAAGAATATAACTCGTATAGAATTCACTTAGGTGTTTAATATGATATAATGATTTTAAGTGCGTGAGAGTGTCTAGGGAGGAGAGATTTACCCAACACATTTGTTTGGTGAAGGGAAAATCTATGAAGTTATCGTCAATAGATTCCCAGTGGGTGGTGGTTTGTAATGTGGTAAATAATTTATAATAGTCCTCTGATGGGCAGAATGGTGCCGGTATATATTCTATATCAAGTGTCTCAGTGCACTGCATATATAAATTCAAAATAAGCGACTTGTAAAATCAAAGACATATAAAGCATGCTAATAAATTAATTAACCACAATGAATAATCTTCTCACCTCCTTGTAAATTTGCATACTGTAGAAGCATATAACCGCTCGGCTATATTATTTATTATAAATAAATAAATAAATAGATTATACTAGTAACGCCGCACGGCTATAGTATTTTTTAAATAAAAAAATGGGAGTTTCACTAAAACACCCAAAATGGAGGTTGAAATTATAAAAAAACCCAACACCCAAAACATTTTATAAACACACCCAAAACTCATCATTACACACACTCAAAACCCATTTATAAACACACCCAAAAAGTTGACTTTGTGGTTGATTTTGGGTGTGTTTCTATGTTTAAATAGTGCTTGGGTTTTTTTATAAATACATGTCTAGGATTGGGTTTATTTATAAATTTGTATAAAAAAAATGCCAGAGTATAGCCGGGCGGCCATACTATTTTTAAAAAATTAAAAAAATATCAAGTATCTCCGGTCGGCTATACTGTACAAATGCGCGCGGCTATACCGTTTAAAAAATAAATAAATTCAATTTACTGCCAGCTGTTCCAAGGATTAGATGGGAATTACCGATTTCATATACGAGGACATAAAAAGAAGAACATCGTCATCGAAAGCAGCAGAGGATCATTTTCTGGACTCGTGTCTGAGTGAATGAAGTAGTAGAACAGTTGCAGCTCATCCAAATTGCCCACCCCAACATACCTTGGAATTGAACAACCCAACACAACGCATTATGATGTGACGCTGCAATTGACGTAGTTGTTATATGTTTGTGTGGTGGAGGTGTCACCAATAATTTGTTGTAGTTTGTGATTTTGTCAACTTCGAAAAAGAAAAAGGGGGGACAAAGAACAAAAGAGAAACTTGTGGGCACCGAAATGACATCATTCAACCGAAATGACGAACAAAAGAAAAAACAAAAACAAAAAAGCTGTATATGCATTTGGATTTATCTTTTTTATTATGTTATATTGGGTTTTGTTTTTAGCTATTTATTATGTTTATCCATTTTGATGAGCGTCCTCTAATTTTGTAAGGGCTTAAAATTTGTAGACCCAACTATACGAGTTGTATTCTGGTCATTGAACATATATGCATATATTGGCAGCAACTTTGATACTCAAGTTTATTAGCTACGAAGAAATTAGTTCAACTTCTTATAAGCTCTTGCATGACATTTTCATCTTCGCATTCTATCATGCTCTAGCATGTGTGGCGAATTTTCAACTTTAAAATGTAGACAAAATATATTGGGTGACATGAAGCACGTGTGACCTTTGGATTTTGACATATAGGTAAACATGCTCTGATACCATGAAGGAAGTTAATAATCCACTCCAAAATCAATCGACAATAGGAAGAGTAGCTCAACTCCATATAAACTCAAAAATACTTCAAGTACATTAATACTAGGGAAGAAATTGAATATTACCCACAAAAATAAATTAACCACTTATTAAATCAAATCAAGAAAAGCACTCATAATTCAACATCCTATCCATTAATCTTGACATACTAATTATATTAAAGTGGGGAATGCTCTAGCCACCGTTTGATCATATCAAAGCATTCTCTTGGATTAAACTCCGGAGCTGTATGACCTCCTCCCTGCACAATTGCAAATGGAGTAATTTGTTAGATAAGTATTTATTAGTTTTGATTATAATTAAATGATCTCAAATAACACTAGTACATTAGCAATGTTCTTGAATTGCACTATTATTGTAGCAAATCGCAATATTGAAAATATCGACAGAATATTGATACTTTATTTATGATATATATATATATATATATCGACGGGATTGATAATACTTCTACAATAATAGTGTTATTTGAAAACAATTTCCCTTGATTATGCTAATGTAAGATAAAGAACATTTCTTGCCTTTATAGTCGCATATGTCAAATGATAATCTCCATTCGAATACCTAACAGTGTATCTGTAAAATTCAAAAATGATTAAAGATAACAAAAGTAGAAGTTAGTTTGGATAGTGAACTTGTAACCGGAGAAAAAATAATAATAATAAAAAGTAAATCTGAAATAAAAATCATGAAAACAATAAAAACTATAATACAAACCCTGCAACTTGATTGTTAGAGAACCATGGTTTCCAATCATCATCAATTGGCAAGCTCAGGGATTCTATCCATGCTTCTGTACTTACATAGGGAACGCTCAAGTCATGATCCCCACTGCAGAAGATGTCATAAAACTTGTAATTTTTTGGTAATTAAAGGTAGATAATTCATGAATTCATTGTATTGAAAGGATTTTAACAAAATATGTAACGTGTTTTCAAATTGCTTGAATTTACACCTACGGAGATAAAATTGACATAAAAAAAACTACAAAAATCGAAATGGTAAAATCGGCAAACTACAACGTAAACTAAAATGACTTTTTTCTATATTATAATCTTACCTGTAGACAAAAGCCCGAAGGGATTTTTGGCTAAGATTTCGATGATATTCAACAGCACGTTGAACATCTTTTATGTAAGGTGTTGTTCTATTGCATCTTACCCATTCACCTTTTGTTCCCTATTTGTCATTGTAAAATTGTTAAATTAATATGTACATTTTAAAATCAACTGGTCGCAAGTGTTATAGAAAAACATACCTCCCGAATGTTAAGAGCTTTACGAACTTCCATATCATTTGCCCAAACCACAGAATACCGAAGCCTATCCGCCTGCAGAACCAAAATTTATCACAAAATCAAAATTTGACGTGTGACACGTCAAATTTAAATGATGAATATTTGGTCTAGTGACATTTAATATCAATTGCGGAGCTGATCTGTATTTCTATCCAATTACAAAGCTTTAAAAGATTTAAACTTTTTTTTTTTTAAGGCCATGGATGGACTATAGTGTAAACTATACAAGGATGGAAAATGCAAACCAATAAATATTGAATTTGAGAGAAGCGACATTACCCGACACAAACTTTCAGGAAAGGGAAAGCTTAAGAAATTATCATCAACAGAGTCCCAGTCCCATCCAAATGTGGTTTGTTCGTTGTGATTGATACGAGGAACGCATGCAGGTGCCAATATATGACTATCGTCAAGTCTGCTAGTGCACTGCAAATACATTAAACAAACCATTTTAAAATCGAAGATAAAACCATGCATCTTGTGTTCCTTCAGGAACATCTGATAAAATTGGAACGCTACACAGAAGATTAACATGACCATGCAAAAGGATGACGTGCATAAAACGAGAAATGGTTCCAAAAAAAAAAAACCAAGCATCTTGTACTACATTTGAATGATGACTACATCAGCCTAACTCATACCTCCTTGAAAGATTGAAGATTGTTGAGGCAGAGTTGATTGTTCGGATCCACGTCTACGTATTCCCCCTTGCAATTCTTTTTGGTGGACTTCAAAAAAAATAAATCAATAACGATATTTAAATTTTAAATCTACTATCTTATTCAAGTATGAAAAAGTTTATATATATCGTTGGCCATAATGCCCACAAACCTTAAAATGTACGACTTGCATAATTAGTATCAATCAAGACCTTCCTTTGTTCTTCATAATCATAAGTTGTATTAAAAATTTAGATGATTTCCTCAGAAGTTACTATGAAACAAAACCAAGAGCGACGTATATACCTCGTACATTCTATTTGATATAAGCGCCATGCGATGAGCAAATTCAATTCTCGAATTCAAATCCTCTTTTTCATTTGTAACTGGATCGCCGATTACGTATCCCTGAATCCATTGAAAAGAAAACTAAATTCTGGGACAATGTCATGAAATTTGAAAGTATAATAAGATATCACTACAAAAAAAAGTGGCAACAGTCACCATTTTGTCACCAATTTTGATGACTGTTGTGGGGGTTACTAAAGGCTTTAGTCACTAAAAAAAAGCATCACCAAAAAAGTCAAAAATGGTAACTGTTGCCTTTAGTAACCTCCACAACAGTCACCAAAATTTGTGACAAAATGGTGACTATGTTGCCACTTTTTTTTGTAGTGTATCTAATTGAGATGTCAATTTATGTACTTTGAGATTCAAAGGTGGCTCTGTTCCAGCTTCAATACCTACAACCAAAAACAAGATTAGATATACAAAAACATCCCTACCCAATACTCTAGACAATATCTTGCCTGAGTATGAATCACCAGCAACGCATATGTAAATTACCATTAACTATCTCTTGAACAATGATAGGAACAATCTTGCCCGAGTACGAATCACCAGAAATGTAGAGTGGATTTGCAAGAAACTTGCGATGAGTCGAAAGCCACTGGACATGATTTTAAGAAACAAGAAAGGTTCATGTATTGATGAAAATTGGCAACCAATCTAAGTACCCAAATTATTGAACAAATTATTTGTGCAAACTTGGCTCACCTTTCGAAGAAACTCAGAAGCTCGTTTTGCATGAATGGTGTCACTTAGAGGTGTCAAACGGGCCGTGCCGTGCCGGCCCATCCCATTTAAACTCGTGCTTTTAACGTTTTCGTGTCGGGCCGGGCCGGCCCATTTAATTCATCGGGTCGTGCCGTGCCGGCCCATTTAGTAAAATTATTGATCCCGGCCCGGCCCAAAGCCCATGTCCATATTGAAACGGGCCGGGCTCGTGCCGTGCCCGTGCTCGTGCTCGTGCCATACTCGGGCCCAAGAACCAATCCATTTAATTTGAATTTTTTTCATTTCATTTTTTTTTTCACTAGATAATTCAAATTATAAACATTAAAAATATAATTAGAGGCAAGAAATGATGAACTATTTGAAAACATTAATCAATCAAACATCCAAACAATATGAAAATGGCAGAGG